ATTTAGGGATATTTTAAGGGCTTTGGGGAAGTGAATCGTGTAGACTTTTGGGTGGAATCAAGTTCTGGTGCATAGAAGAATTTGCTGTCATCGCACTGTTCACCTAGCGAAGAATGCTTCGCCTAGCGAACCATGTTATTCCCAAACTCGCCTAGCGAAGAATCCTTCGCACAACGAAGAAACTCGCCCTAGACTTGCCTAGCGAACATGCCAGCAAACGTAGCAGAGTTTTGCAAAATAATGATCGTGTGCAGCGATGCCTTGATGTTTGATTCTGTGATTTTCATGATGAATTACCATGAGGGTAACTATGATTTCTATGTGATTAATATGTCATGTGTATATTTATTACATGATTGTTTCTATGATGTATTATGATGATATTACCATGATTTTGATGAATTATATGATGACATGAGATATGATGATGATTGTGATGATGATGAATATGATGAATGATGATGCACCTATGTTGTTACTATGAGGATGATTATTGACGTGTGCATCATACATTCATGTGTATCCGGACTTCGGTTCAGGACCTCGATTACTTTGGCTTCAATCCCATTGTGTGGATGTGAAGTATTTTGATGTGCTTCAGCTCTCTAGTAGAATCGATCCTATTGATGGGGATTTATGGAGGGTTGATGGCCCAGTGTCCATTGCACTGTGATGATTGGTACCACATGCATTGAGTCTTGTTACATTTTGCATTTATGGTCTTTTTGTATGAATTATGATGTTGTGGCCTTCGATGCCTATTGAAGGATATGAATGTGTTGAATGTGAAAATGACGCTGTTTATATGTTGGTTTTCATACATTGATTATTATGAACCGTTTTACTCACCCTGCCTATTTGAATGTTGCCTCAACGTGTGTAACATGCAGATGACCAGGTTTAACCGTGGACGTCGTCGAGGATTATTTTTGAAGTTTCGAGTCGTTAGCCTTTTTGGTTAACTTAGAGGGTCTTACTCTGATATGTAACATCGGGTTGGGTTCTTTGAGTTAAACTATGTTTTAATTGAATTTATTTTGATTATCTTCCCTGATGAGGAAAACCTTGATTTATGCCTTTTGAGTTCCGCTGTTTTATGCGTTTTGATGTATTTTTGAGAAAACCCGTTGGTTACGGAGCCTTGACCTATTTTGATGACATTGAGAAATGTACGCTCTTTAAGGTGATTTTTATTGAGTTAAATATTTAACTCTGATTTATGTGAAAAATGTGCCTTTTAATTGTGGGGTAGAAAAGGGTGTTACACTCATAGACCTGGACAATTTCATATTTATGTTGGCCCAACACAAATTTCCATTTTAAAAGTTGTTAAAGAAAGAAGCACACTTCGAGTAGACCAAACAGTGTAAGCAGACATTCATATCTCTAAAGTCGGCCTTACCAACGCCATTAATTTTGTCTAGACCGATCGTGGTGGAATTCGATAATTTATGAAATTACTCATTTAACATAAGCAGTTATTAACTTATAACACAAGAAATTAATTGAAAAAAATCCCAATTTGTCATAAAATGAGATAAAACACTTGTATGAACATTTTAACTATGATATTTATGAATACAAATGAAATTATCCAAAGAAATCACATATTACCCAAGCTAAGTAGTAGAGAACTCGATGGGCAAGGTAGAGGCTCGCCCATCCAAAGACAAGACTAAAATAGGGCATAAAAAGAGAATCCTTGTAGACTTAATCTCGTCAGGTGAAGATATAAGCTCTCTATTCAAGCACAAGCAGTTAGAGGTTTTTTCCAGGACAAGTTACTTCATGTTGAAGCAATACATGTAAGTATAGAGTGCACTTAAGAGGGGAGGGGGTGAATTAGGTACTTTGGTCAATTTTGGTTTATTGAGATTTTTCTTTTAACATTCTGGTTTGGTGGTGTTTTAGAAAGTAGTAAAATGCGGAAATATAAAGAAAGCCGACAATATATCCTGGCTCCCCTTACAATCGAAGATTACTCCAGTCCTCTTACACAGTAAGATATTTATATAAGTATTAGAACCTTGTACAAGCCTGACATGGCCACTACACACAAGTTACTATCTCAATAAATAAGAACAAACCCCTTATGATCTTTACAAAGTGAAAGAAGATAACAATCCTCTCTTTTTCACTCTCTTGCTTCCAACAATCTTGGACAACAAGGTATTCGCACTATTTTGAATATTTTATACAAGATGTTGAAGTTGAATGATATGCATCAATTTCTAGAATTTATCTTCTTTTTCAAGCAAACAATTCGGAAGATGTTATACAAGTGCTTAGAAGTAATGTTGAAGCTTTAAATGATGCAATGGATTTAATGCAACACAAAATTTTGTATCACAAGACACTTGTTTAAAAGTTTGAAAGAATAATAAGTTTGAATTGCAATGAAAGAGGTAAGGAAACAAAATCTGATAGGTAGGGTATTTATACTACCATACTACCTTTCTGAAAATGCATGTAATCATGAAAAGATGTCATGCTTGAGGGATGTAAAAATGAATTCGTTAGAATCAACACTACTACAAAATACACCTTCGGTAACATAATACTACTACATCTTGAATCTCTTAAAGGGTTTTTAATACTTCATCCTTTCTCTTGATCACATAGATCCACAACTTTCGACTAAACTCATCAATAAATAAAAAATACTTGTTTCTACCAAGGGTATGCTCCTCTAAAAGGCCACATACATCTGAATGTACAATTTCGAGTATGTAGGATGATCTCATTGGCATAGTCGAAACAAAATACTTTCTGGAAATGCATGTAATCATGAAAAGATGTCATGCTTGAGGGATGTAAAAATGAATTCTTTAGAATCAACACTACTACAAAATACACCTTCGGTAACATAATACTACCATACTACCTTTCTGAAAGAGGTAAGGAAACAAAATCTGATAGGTAGGGTATTTATACTACCATACTACCTTTCTGAAAATGCATGTAATCATGAAAAGATGTCATGCTTGAGGGATGTAAAAATGAATTCGTTAGAATCAACACTACTACAAAATACACCTTCGGTAACATAATACTACTACATCTTGAATCTCTTAAAGGGTTTTTAATACTTCATCCTTTCTCTTGATCACATAGATCCACAACTTTCGACTAAACTCATCAATAAATAAAAAAATACTTGTTTCTACCAAGGGTATGCTCCTCTAAAAGGCCACATACATCTGAATGTACAATTTCGAGTATGTAGGATGATCTCATTGGCATATTCGAAACAAAATACTTTCTGGAAATGCATGTAATCATGAAAAGATGTCATGCTTGAAGGATGTAAAAATGAATTCGTTAGAATCAACACTACTACAAAATACACCTTCGGTAACATAATACTACCATACTACCTTTCTGAAAGAGGTAAGGAAACAAAATATGATAGGTAGGGTATTTATACTACCATACTACCTTTCTGAAAATGCATGTAATCATGAAAAGATGTCATGCTTGAGGGATGTAAAAATGAATTCGTTAGAATCAACACTACTACAAAATACACCTTCGGTAACATAATACTACTACATCTTGAATCTCTTAAAGGGTTTTTAATACTTCATCCTTTCTCTTGATCACATAGATCCACAACTTTCGACTAAACTCATCAATAAATAAAAAATACTTGTTTCTACCAAGGGTATGCTCCTCTAAAAGGCCACATACATCTGAATGTACAATTTCGAGTATGTAGGATGATCTCATTGGCATATTCGGAACAAAATACTTTCTGGATTGCTTTTCAAATAGAAAACCTTAACAGAGTTTTTTTGGACATCTCTAGACTTGGTATACCAACTACCATATCTTGAGTAATTAGTTAATTGAGTGATTGAAAGTTCAAATGTCCAAACCTGAAATGCCACGACCAACTATTCTTATGGTCGACAACAACTTTTAGTCCTTGTACTTCAGTTAAACAGATCATGGTCTGAAATGTCCTATTCTTCGACAAAGAAGATTTCAAGACCAAATTATTATGAGTGTCGAACAATTCCAAGGCTCCATCTTTCATAATCACTAAGAAACATTTTTTTGACTAGTTTTCCAACAATTAGCTGCACTTCATTCTAGGTACATAGAGTACATATTTGATCATAGATTTTCCTTCATTGCTCATTTGAATAACTATGTCGTCAGTACCTTCTGTTTGTAACAAACTGTTATCAGTAAGTTTGACTTTGCTCTTCTTCGACGAGACGAAACCGGCTACCCACATTTTTCGACTAGTCATACGATTCGAGCATCCCGAGTCGAGGAACCAGATCTTTGATTCAACATGGTAATCTGCAACTACAGCCATAACCATCATATCTTCATAATCATCTGAATATTGGCGTGTCAGGTTTGCTCTTTCCTCTTTGTCTTTTATCGCTCCTTTGTCTTTATTGTACCATAGTTCTTGGCCACATGATCCCACTTTTCACAGCTATAACACTACACACTTTTTTCTCTATCTTTCTGATAGAATTTTCCTTCTCCTCTTTTTGAGGATTCAGAAACCTCATCATCGTACTTATACTTTTGAAGATTTGACCAAGACTTCTTACTCTGAGTCTTATCTCATTTGCCCGAGCTTGCAATGTTTGTATCAAATCTTAAGCCCCTTTCCTTTCGACAATCCTATTCTCATGCGCCTCCAAGAACCAACCAAATCTTCCAGTTTTAAGGTTTCAAGATTGTTTGATTCTTGAATAGATATGATAACGTGATCAAAGTGAGAGGTCAATGTATGCATTACCTTCTCAACTATCATCCTATCAGTTAGGGTTTCACTAGAACCCTTCATGAGATGGACGAGATTCTACACCTTCGACACATAGCCTGCAATCTTTTCATCTTCTTCCATTTGCAGCAATTCATATTGTCATCACATTTCTGTAATTTGACGACTTTGACTTTCTCACCTCTTTTATAGTACTTGACAATAGCAATTTCAAACTAGCTAAACAATAGCAATGTTAAGCTCTAAAATTATGAAATTCAAATATACTATTTTCATCTTTCTATTCACAATCCATGGAGGAGTTTCCACTCCTCCAGCAGATCCAATTAAGTGTTCATCAAACAACACCAACTGCACCATCACAAACGCAAACGGTATGTTCCCCGATCGAACCATCTGCAAAGCCGCCGAGGCTAAGTATCCAACCTCGGAGGCAGAGCTCATATCAATAGTCGCATCAGCTTCCAAAAACAATCAAAAAATGAAAGTAACAACGCGATACTCTCACAGCATACCAAAGCTAGTTTGTCCCGACGATAACGGAATTCTAATAAGCACAAAAAATCTCAACCGTGTAATAAGAATCGACCGGGAATCGATGAGAATAAGTGTTGAGAGCGGTGTGACATTGAGACAGATCATTAGTGAAGCTGCAAGATATGAAATGGCTCTACCATATACACCATATTGGTGGGGTTTAACAATTGGAGGATTACTAGGTACAGGTGCTCATGCAAGTACATTATGGGGTAAAGGAAGTGTTGTTCATGAATATGTTAGGCATGTTAAAATTGTTAGTCCTTCAGGATCTGAAGATGGATTTGTTAAAGTTCGAAATCTTGATGAATCTCAGGAAGATCTTAATGCTGCAAGAGTTTCTTTAGGAGTTCTTGGAGTTATTTCTCAGGTATATAGAATTTCAATTTTTGGGATTGTCATCATATTTTGGTTGCTTGCATGATGTTTGACTTTTCTATTCTCACTCATTATTTTACAGGTTACCTTACAATTACAACCCATCTTCAAACGATCACTTACATATTTAACAAAAAATGATTCTGATTTAGGTGATGAATTAATCACTTTTGGAAGAAAACATGAATTTGCAGATGTATCATGGTATCCAAGTCAAAAAAAAGTTGTTTATAGAATCGACGATCGTGTCCCTTTAAATACTTCTGGAAATGGTTTATATGATTTCACAGGATTTCGGTCAACACTTTCCCTTGCATTAGCGGTTGTTAGAGGAACAGGTTTATTAACTTACTTGAATTCCATTTTATTGTTTTTTTTAAAAGGTAAATATTTTTATGTTTAAATAATTTTTTTTCTATTATAGAGGAAATTCAAGAAACCGGAAATGATGCTAATGGGAAGTGCATTAGTGCACAGTTGATATCTACAACACTTGCTGCCTCTGGTTATGGATTAACTGACAATGGTATTTTTGATTAGTTTTTCATATAGAATATTTGTTGTAAAACACTAACACATACACCATTTAAGACAAATGGAGTTATAGAATTATATTTTAAGATAAAAATGTTATAATTTGTAGGAGTCTTTATTGGATATCCTATTGTTGGATTACACAACAGAATGCAGTCATCAGGAACATGTTTGGATAGTTTGGAGGATCTAATGATAACAGCGTGTCCTTAGGACTCAAGAATTATTGGAGAATTCTATCACCAAACAACGTTTAGTATTTCTTTATCTGTTGTAAAAAACTTTATTGAAGATGTTCAAAAGCTTGTTGAATTAGAGCCGAAAGCATTATGTGGACTAGAATCATACAGTGGAATCCTTATGCGATATGTTACAACTTCAAATGCATATTTAGGAAAAACAAAAGATGCTATAGATTTTGACATCACATATTATCGCAGTAAAGATCCGTTGGCTCCCAGGCTTTTCGAAGACATAATTGAAGAAATAGAACAAATTGGATTGTTTAAATATGGAGGGTTACCTCATTGGGGAAAAAAATAGAAACTTAGGATTTGTGGGAGCAATAAAGAAGTATAATAAAGCAGATAAGTTTTTGAAGGTTAAAGAAGAGTATGATCCAAAGGGACTTTTTTCTAGTGAGTGGACAAATCAAATTCTTGGACTTAAAGAAGGGGTGACAATATTGAAAGATGGTTGTGCATTGGAAGGGTTGTGTATATGCTCACAAGATAGTCACTGTGCACCTAAAAAGAATTACTTTTGCAAATCGGGCAGAATTTTCAAGGAAGCAAGAGTTTGTAGGCGTGATGTTAAAACTAAAAAAAATGATATGAAAGACGAGCTCTAATAGAATGGTATTTTGTTGTGTAATTTATCTAGTACCTTGTGCAATTTGTTTCAAAAAATAATATTTCTCATTTGTAAAAAAGGAACATGAACTTACTTTTATGAGATAAAGTTGTTTTCTGTTGGTGAAATTCTAGAGGTGGTATGTGATAAATTACATTGTTGCAAAATTTAGAAAATATTTTTGGGGCTGAATATTCTTGTATTTCTCTTCTGAAAATGCATCTCATACACAAAAAATATATAGTATGCGTAGTAATTGTTACAGCTATCAAAAAGTCACCACTACTAGGTGCTTAATTCATAAATTAAATATTCCACTAATCACTAAGTGCTTCCACTGACAGCAATGACAATTTACTTATGTATCTCTGTTAGAATAAGTTTTGTTCATGACATATTCTCTTTTGGTTTTGATGATAACAAATTATTGAAAGAACAATGGTTTATTTGACGTGTGTTTTATTTATGCAGGTTCTACATTATTGTACATAAATAATCATCATAATCTATGTTACATGAATACACTTGAGAGTTGTTTCATTGCTAGCTTCTATTGGCAGAGTCTGAAGAACAATGGCTAGTATGACTTGGACAGACTATAAGCTGAAGACCTCAATATTTAGACGAGTTACTACACTTGGTAATTGTATATCAACTTCTGGTACCATTCAGAGTTGGTGATAAAGTTGTGATTATCCGTACTGCAGAAAGTAAGTTGTATTGTCTTATCAGTTTGTCATTTAGAGTCTATAAAATTGCAAGGCTCAAGAAAGGTTTGCATGCTCTACGGATATCTGCTCTCAACGGCTCTATCAGTACATAACCACTTGAAGAATCAGAGGTTAAATGTGTTACGCACTAGATTTAGAATCTGTTGTGCATCCATCTTTAACATCTCTTGTACTATGGAGTAAAGACAAAGACACTTGGTCAAGTTACCTCTTCAACGACTAGTTTCTGTAAAAGCTGTAAATATGGCTGACGATTCAAGTTTGAATCTTAATAAGAATTCTTTAGATGAAGGAGTAGCAAGACCAATTAATTATCAACACTATTGTAATATGCATATTTTCTGTTGTAGGTTGTTATTATAAAAGCCTTAAGATTTATTACCATTAAATATCTTAGAAATCTTAAGAGTTTTAGGTCTTTTTTATGGTGATTTCCCGTACCTCTAATGCTTGTATCATGTAAACTTTGTTCTCTATTTTGATGAGCCTTGAGTAGTTTAGATTAAAGTCTCTTGCTATGTGCTTGAGCAGAAGTTTTGTCTCATTAGGATTCAAGAAAAAAGTATTGAGCCAAGATGCTTAAGCTACATAACTCTCATTTCTTAAGTGCTTAAGTTGTAAATGTCTTATTCAGCTAGTCTGATTGAGTAAGGGAAAGTCTCCGTCTGAGGGGTATAAGCAAGAGTCTTGAGTGCAACTTGAACAAGGAAGTCTCCCTCTGGATGGCCAGAATAGCAGGTGGCTCAGTCAGAGGATGTGAGCAAGAAGTCTTAGACATATGCTCTAAGAAAAGGGAAGTCTCAACTAGAGGATCTTTGGAGCAGTTGGCTCGACCAGAGGGTGTGAGCAAGGGAAGTATTAGACATGTGCTCTAAGCAAGGAAAGTCTCAGACAGTTGGTTTGAGCAAGAATAAAAGACTTATGCAGAAGCATAAGCGATTGTAATCATGAAGTGGTTATAATGAAAATATCTTGTGAGTAAAGGGGACTGGAGTACTCTCAGTTAAGGGAGGAACTAGGATATATCTTTTGTGTCTTCTGCTATTATTTGTTTACTTCTGCTATATCCACTTATTGCACCCTAATTTTTTACTCTAAGATCCCACATCTTTTTGCATCATCTGTATAGTTTATCATCGCTTACATTTTTCATAATACCCAATTTATTAGCTGAAATAAATTTTTTGGACAGTTTAAACCATTTTAGCGGGTAAATTTTATTTCAAAATTTGACAAAACGCCGTATTTTTCTGAATGATATATTTTACGCTGATCACTCTGATGTATTCATTTTATTTTTTTCGAGTACTGCGATGTTGGTCCAATTATTCGTTTTTATCATTTTATTTCTACTTTTTAATTAATAATTATTTTAATTAATTCATTTTGATTTTTAGATTATTTATTTATTATTTCTTTCTTTCTTTCTTTATTATTTTTAATGTTTAATTCTATTTTTTAGTTTTTAGAAATTCGTTTAATAACTTTTAGGAGATACTCTCTCTATTTTTCTAGCATGTAGCCTCCTATTAGTCTAATCCCTAATCAGAACAAAATCTATATAATATACTACTTCTCCTAGGATTGGACCCTTTTTTCCTTCTTCATGCACAAAACACTTTTCTTGTCCACTCCAACAAAACAATTTCCATACTCATAATCTTTCAAATCTTTTACACAATTTATCTTCTTTCAATAGTACTTTAAGGTACCACCATCACCATCATCTTGTAACGTCACCTTAATATGTAACCCCCCCCCCCCCCCCCACTCTCATTTCAACACAAAAACACTCCAACCTTTATCCTCATGCCATTCTCCTTCACTTCCCTAGATCCACATCTAACACCCTTCATAAAATTCCATGCGCACCTCATCTTTTTTTTTCTGGACATTAATACACTTAAAAACTCCTTCATATTACCTCTCTCTCCCTCATTTCAATAAAAAATATCATAACTTCAAAAACACAACTGTATTTTTTTCTCATAGGAACTTCAACAGAAACTTCACATACCGTACATTGGGTTGCAGACGGTGGCAACATAATTCTGGCGAATGCTACACACTGAGTTGGCATCGGAGTACTTGTGGTGGATAAAAAACTATCAGCATTATACCTTTACTTTCTTATCCTAATGTAACTAGATAAGTTTAGTGTACAGCTGGCATACCATTATTGGTTCACCCAAATACTTGTATATATGCTGATATTGTATTGAGTTAGTTAGATGAATGATAACAAACTTTTACCCTTTTATTACTTCTTTTTCTTTCTATTATTGCTTCTTCTTCTTTCTGCTATGGCATCATCGCAGTGTATATTCAAACTTGTCTATATTATCGACATGGTATCAGAGCTTCAAAAGCTCTGGTAGCCATTGGTATTTCTTCTACGATCTTTGTTCATCTCCTTTGTGAGTTCTTTCTGTTTTTCATCGTTCATCTTTTTCTTGATCGCTTTCATCTTTTTCTGTTATCCAATGGAGAACCAGAGCTACGCCGATTTCGCAACTAATTCTGCAAATCCCTATTATCTCCATCCGAATGAGAATCCAGCTCTTGTTCTTGTTACGCCTTTGCTCAATGATAAAAATCACCATACCTGGGCTCAATCGATGCACATTTCGCTTATCTACAAGAACAAGGAGAAGTTCATTGATGGAACCTTAACCAAGCCACATGTTTCGGATCCGATGTATACACCATGGATCCGTTGTAATACCATGGTTCTTGCGTGGATTCAACGATCGATTTCGGAACCAATAGCGAAGTCTATTATGTGGATTGATACAACATTTGGCGTATGGAAGAATTTGCAAATTATATTTTCTCAAGGTGACATCTTCCGCATATCTGACATTCAAGAAGACTTGTACAAATTCTGTCAAGGTACTCTCGACGTCTCTAACTATTTTACACAATTGAAGGTTATGTGGGACGAATTGGAGAACTATCGACCGATTCCGTTTTGTTCTTGCGCAATTCCCTGTTCTTGCGGTGCCATAACGTCTGTTAAACGGTATAGGGAACAAGATTACATAATTCGTTTTCTCAAAGGGTTATCTGAGAAATTTTCTCATTCAAAATCTTAGATTATGATGATGAATCTGTTGCCTGATATTGACAAGGCCTTCTCGCTTATGATTCAACGAGAACGAGAAATGGATAGCTTTGCATCAAGTGTTGTTGCCCCTACAGGTTCCACTGAAGAAGCCTCTACATTACAAGTTCAAGCTCAGGAAGGGAACCATTCTGGTAGACAAGGTTCCAACACCTATCGTGCTAAGATTCAAGGTTCAGCTCCTGCAAAAGTTCTAACAGAGTTTGTACTCACTGTGGCCGGACGAACCATACCATTGAAACTTGTTTCAGTAAGCACGGATACCGACCAGGTTACAGAAATAAATCCAAGGCTCAAGGGTCTGCATCATCTTCATCAACTGCAAATGCTAATAATGCATCCATATCCTCTTCTCAGGTTTCAGCACCATCTTCTTTTGGTTTTACTAAGGAGCAGTATGACAGTATCCTCATATTGATTCAGCAATCCAAGCCTCAACCTGTTGTCAATTCTGTCTCAACATCACCTTTTGTCATGCATTCTCACTCAACCAATGTGAATGGTAAGCACCCTCACCTTTGGATCCTTGATACTGGAGCTACTGACCATTTCTCTTTTGATTTATCTTCCTTTATTACACATAAGAACATAGTTCCCATCCATGTTAGCCTACCTGATGGTTCACAAGTCATGGCCTCCATTTCTGGCACAGTAGCTATATCACCCTATCTCACTCTTCACAATGTGCTTTTATGTTCCTAGCTTTAATGTCAACCTTATATCTGTAGCTAAACTTGTTTCTAGTAATCTATGTTTTGTTCAATTTCATGCTAACATATGCCATATTATGCAGAATCATACCAAGGCAATGATTGGTATAGCTAGCTTACACTGGGGACTTTATGTTCTTGACACCACACCTTCACTTTCTCATGCTAATAATTCCTTTGTTCATAATTTTGTTTCTCATACATCTTGTAATTTGTGGCACTTAAGGCTAGGCCACCTATCTGATATTGGTTTATGCACCATCTCAAAGTATTTTCCTTTCATTTCTTGTAATAAAGATAATGTACCATGTGACTCTTGTCACTTTGCTAAACAAAGAAAACTTCCTTTTCCAAATAGTGTATCTCATTCTAATGTTCCTTTTAATATTTTGCATGCTGACCTATGGGGTCCTTTCTCCACAATATCCACTTT